TCATTTTTCTATAGAATCAAATGCTGAATATTTTGAAAAACCTTCGATTCAAATAAATGACAACTATTCATATATGTAGTATTCTCTACGAGTAATTAATTTGCCTGAAAGAGCAAGTTTCGTCATTGACTAGAAAAATACACGCATATCTCTACTATATCGGCTTGTGCTAGTTCATTTTTTTCATCACAGGAAAGTTTTTCTTCTCTCAACTATCACTAACTCTCTCTCTGTGCTGTTTACTATAAAAGCCTCACGCCTGCTTCATCAAATACCAGTATAGAGTTTTTCACGTTGTTTTACAGATAAAAAGACTTTTCACTCTGTAAAACAAGTCATTACTTTTGTCGAAATCAATTTGTATCGCTATTTCACCTTATTCTCAATTCTTTAGAAAATTCGACTCGTACTTCGTATCGGATTTTGTATTCGGCTCAAACTCGAACACCATCTGGTATGGATTTGTTTTCATAGTAGCAGCTCCGTCAGACTATTGCTTTAAGACAAATATGAATTGAGATCCAACAATTGCAAATAATTATGAAATTTCTGAATAATCCGACAGAACAAGGATACATGATACATAGTACATGCTTTTCAATAATGCTCATTACGGAATTTATCGAAGAAAATATCTCAATCAGTAAAATGATCTCTAATTGCTTCTGGATCAAAAACCCAATGAGAAAATTCATACATTCTATACTTCAAAAACGTTTTGTTTTTCAACAACGGATTATTTTATTCGCATTGAATTTTCATCGTAATAAAATAAATCTTGCTGCCACTGCTTTTTCTAATAGTATTTAACATTTTCTTCCAGATTTCAATAGATTTTCATTTCAATAAAATTATCAGAGCAAAACCATTCGTCATGAATGGCACCGCTTTCATTACCTTAACCCTTATACTAAATAAAAATGAATAGTTACAAGTATTGTAGTTAAACATGTTTGATTCAATGTAATCTTCGCACCAGATTCAGTTCGTATCAACTAACGCTTGCCAATGAAATAAGCGCGAGTAATCGAGTCTACCATCCATCGAACGTTCCAAAACAAAACATAATGAAATAAATAAGAAATAGATGTAATACAAAATTTAAAAAAATACTATTTTAAACATCCCGTTTTCGGATTTACGTTATTCTTGAACGCATAGATATATAAAAGAATTGATTAACCGTATAATTAGATTTCACTTGAAAATCTCAATTGAGAAATCGGAAGCCAAACCGTCATAATAGATTATTTGACTGTTGCAAAAATGGTTATGTTTATTTCAATTTAGTTAGACGTAATGGATTATTGCAAATCCACTGTGCGAAGTATTCTTCCAAATACAAATACGGTTATTTTATTGCAAGGTATTAATTTATATTCCATCAGTGACTACGATTCTTATTCTATTGGTCATGCCTACAAGACAAGGTTTCATTCATTACATATTTATTTCCACCTGCACTTTAACAAAATTATAGGAAATTTAATATTTACATCAAATTCCTTGTAAAATACTTATTGATACGACAAGATTGAAGAATGATTAATATGAAAGGAATTCGCAAAAAAAATGACTGTAGAAAAATACATGAATTAATAAACTCTTTAAAAGCATGTAATGAGTTGCTACTTTATTTTTACAGCTTCACACGACTGTAACATAAACAGAGACCATAGTGATCTACTTAATACAAATAATTGTGTTTTACTCACTTAAAACTTCCATATCACTCTCGGCAGCTAATGACTGATAAGAATACGCGATATTACGTTTTCTATTTTTCATCTATTTAATAATTTCTTCGCATTGTGATGTCTTAATGTCGGGAAGCAACTCCTCCAAATGCTCAGTCAGACCTAATCTTGTTATATTCAAAGTGTTGCTCTGGCAGGTCAATGTTGCCATCAGCCCGCACGCTTTCGTCATCCCAGCATGTGTTTGATCAGTAAAGATCATTTACCTCTTGGTAAGTTGTAATATACGAAATGATTTTTGTCTCTACTCTTTCCATACAACGGGGTCTTTTCACAAAGGACTTGCAATTTGTAGATTTCGATTGAGCTACTGCGAAGAATCAATTCTCAAAACAGCAGTGACAATATTGATAAGATTGTCAAAAAACTAACTACGGAACTTGAGAATTCGATACATTTGATGATTGAGAATGCGTATCAACTTGTTATTGCATATAGTCGCTAACTTGTTTTTTTTTAAATAAAACTCTTGTGAATGATTAACCAAATTGATATATTTTCTTCATCGATTAAATCAATGATTAACTTTTGAAGTTCATGAGTGTTGACGCATTATACATTCATAGCTGTATTTACAGCGTAATAGTAGGAATTACCGAAATACTTTTTTATCAGTGTTTTCATCATAATGTCTTAAATACGACAGGATAAGCTACAATTTAGGTTCATGACATTGATACTAATAAGAATATTTGACAATTTGTCGCTTTCAGCTAGATTTTATCAAAAATTTGATAAGAGTATTTTTTAATTCATCAACAATAATGCCATACGCTTGTTGAATACATGCATGATGTGGAATCATAGTGACCCAAATGGAAGATTTGCCTAATATACATTGGCTTGTCAATATCTTCTACTGTCGTTCCACCTTCATTAGATTTTACAGTACTAATAAAATACGCCAAATGACATAGGCTCAAAAGAGGTAAACCAATAGTAGTCCATGTAATCTATTATATCAGATTGAAAGTGTTCTGCAGTAGATTGAATTACGTATTTTAGCATTGAACAAATTGTTGCGTTCTAACTGAAGTTAATTGGAAAACAATCATTTGAATCTAAATTTTTCAGTGATATTTTTAAACGAATCACGTTTGCAACTAAAAACAAAGCATGAAAAAACTATGTCCACAGTGGGAGCTAACCGAACAAAAGAGTAACTTAATCTGAATAAACATGGTAGACATATGATTCACAGTGTAAAAACAAAACTATTCATAGAAAAATCAGTTGGATGACTTGAAGAAGCATTTATTCAAGCTATTAATTATTGAACAGTGTAGTCATAGTTTATCGAGAGATTAAGCAAGGTACATTTAAACGATTATCGCTGTATTTAGTTCTTGGTGTTAGAGGTGCGGAGCGTTCCCAATTAAACAAAATGATAATTCATGGAAGGATTTTAGCAATGTACACTGCAACAAAAATAGGCAGACAGTGAGGATGTGGGCATGCGTGGAAGAAGACATACACCCACACCCTCAAATTTTTCTGATGTACCTCAGGGGGTGACCACGGCAGTGAGTCATCCCAATACTTTAAAAATGCAATATCTCAACAGCAGCAGGATTTGGGGACGAGCCGTTTTAGGGCTTCTATCTACACTATGATTCCTACTTATAGGCAAAATATGAGCTCAAACGGAAGGTTCCCTCGTTAGATATGCTCTACTATTGTAAGAAGCTTTTGATCTAACTGTCAAAATCGTTTTACATTCCCGATGCATTTATAAAAGATAATCAAACAAAAAAGTCTAATAGGAAATTTTTAGATAAAATGAACATTAATCGAAATGAAACGTCGACTAATTGTCGAATATAAATAAAAAAATAATCTTCATTCTCAAAGATCATGATCTCTACTAGAAAACTAAATTTCTCAAATAACGAAGTGCTGGAAATCGTAGACTAAATTGATTTAAACACGCATATGAGCTCTGGTCTAACTGGCACAATTTTATGACCTGTAGAATAGAGTAAAGTGCATTGACTTATGAGATACAAATTTCGAATGAATGTTCCACATCATTCCATAACTTCTACTGATTTTTCAAGAATCAAACGATACGGTTGCCACAATAATTTTTTCTTCATTAATTTAGTGACATGTATAATAAAATGATCCGGAAAAAGTAAATAACTGTAAGATGACTGTTATAGACAGTTATTCAAATTACAAATATTCTCATCCTCAAAACAGTACTATGTCACTCAAGACATATTTATAATGTATAGAATCTGAAAAAAAGAAGCCCAAGATACTTGTGACCAGTAATGATAGCTATTTCAATAAATAGTTGCTATCAATTCGTATATTCTGATTAGCTACATCGATAGTGTCGTAAAGCCCATCGAGTTCGGATCCAGAAATTCTGTTCATCAGGTCCGGGTCCGTGATTTTGAATCCGACAGGCTATGCTTAGGAGTAAAAGTCCATCATTTCAAGGTCACTGTTAAAATTACCTGGAAAACGTATAGAGTATGCTAGACACCTATATAAACAAGCGAAAAAACAAATACTGTCTTTTTGGAGCGACTACCAGGTTCACATAAACAAGAATTTCATTGAAACTATTAAGAGTGCGATTCAAAATTCTGGTACGGATCAGAAAAATCTTAGACACAATGGGCTCTACAGTTCAGACACAAGTAAATGACCTTTTGCCAATGTATCCTAACAATAAAAAACAACATAAAAACTGCGTAATATCTTTGAATAAATCTATAGTCTATTAACATGCAATATTAAAGTAAAACCATCTGTTGATCTCATAAAGCATAATTCGCTTAATGGGATAAAAACAGCAATTAATCGTTTAAATGTTCATGATATCAGATATTTTTAACGGCAATGACGGAGGAAAATAATCTCCTCTTTTCTTTCGTTCATTCAATTATTCAGCCATTGTTTATTCCGACTTAAAAACAAATATCATTATTCTCATTGGTGATCATTGACGACATCGGTCAAAAAAAATGACATGACCATATATACATATTCACATCTGCAAGTCAAAAAGAAACACAGGCATAGATAAACATGAAAGATTTATCGATTAAATGAAGTGATTTACCAGATGAAATTCTTATATTTATTCTAAGAAAATTGTATGATGTCGAAGTACTCTATTCTTTAATAGGGGTTAACAAACGACTGAATACAATTGCGTATGACTCACTTTTTACAAGTCATTTAACATTATATTTCTTGGATAAATTTATCTATCCATTACCTGATCCAATGCTTAATCGATTTTATTTACAAATTTTACCTGAAATTCACCATAAAGTCAAGTGGCTTAATCTTGAATCAACATCTATGGAGCGTATTCTTCTTGCTACAAATTATCCTAATCTAAATGGACTTGGTTTGTATGATATTGATGTAGAAAAGGCTCTATCTCTTTTTAATAGTAAGTTGCTTCAATTGTGAATTAATGAGAAGTAGATAAAAATTCGATAGAATTCATTTTATTATATTTCTAATGTAATCGAGTAAATCATTGACGAACTTAAGTATGAATTTCTATGTTTGTTAACACTTTTATTTTTATTTAGATGATATTGTCTTTACTCGTATAAACAGAAGCCAAATATCATCACTTGTTATCGATATTAGTAAAGATGACGAACATATTGCAGTTTTTAAAAAAGACGTGAATAATATTCTATTTTCAAAAATCTTCACTATGTTCATCAATTTACAATATTTAAGCTTCGGTCCATGGTCAAATTTGCGACCACCATCTTTATTTGAGATGCCATATCCAAGTGCTACTTCTTCTAATCTGTTAGAATTACGTATTTGTAGAACTTACTTTACCGATTTGCTTTATTTACTCGATGAACGTTTTAATCAACTTCATACAGTTCATGTTGATATTATATTCTTTCAATGCGCCGCTTCAACAATTCATCGTAGGGTAAATTGTTTCTGATTAATATTCAATAGATTGAATTTTGCTTAGCTTTTCTAGGAAAAATTGCCGAATCTAAGATACTTTTCGTTACATTCTAATAATGATCTACATAATTATGATGAATTAATTGTACCACTTCTACATCGAATGTTGAATCTAGAAAAACTTGATTTACAACTTGTGGTGTATCGTAAGAAAGGATTCATTAATGGAAATGATTTCAAAGACGATATTATCAATAATATGCCAAGATTAAATAACTTTACATTTAATATTCGTTTATTCAATTATCTTCCTAATCAAACTACTAAACTTTCAAATGAAAATATTCAATGTACATTCAAAGATTTTAAGAGCAATGAAATTATTTCTTGTGTCGATTATTTCCAAGAAAAGCAATATAGTTATTGTCATATCTATTCCTATCCGTATAAAATGAATTATTATGTTAATATTTCAAATAATTTCCCAGGTGGATTATTTAAAAATGTTCATAGAGTATCATTATTTGATGAGCGTCCGTTTGAACATGAATTTTTTATTCAAATTCAGAAATCATTTCCATTTATGAAGGAATTAACTGTAGTTAATGAAAAACCGCAGAAGAATAAATTATATAGAAAATCAAAGAACGACAATCAATATTTATCAATTATTAAATATCCTCATCTAACTAAACTCTCTCTTCTTCAAGTTCATGATGATTATGTCGAACAATTTTTACTTGATACGGATGTATTTATGCCGAATAACGCCCATCTTCTTGTCGATTATCAAGCAATGAAAAGAGTTACAGAAAATTTCACAAGACATGCAACACGAGTTAATTGCGCCAAACTGGCTTCTGTGTCTCTAATTGATACGTATAAATGTATTAAACCTGTAAAAGGCTATTTTCCTCGGGCAGATAAACATTGATTATTGTAAATAATTATAGAAATAAAACAGATTAAACGTTAAAATTGAGAGAAAAGAATAAAAGAGAATACGAGTCGTTCCAAATCAGTATCACTTGAGACGTTCTTACGAATAAATGTATGCTCACTAACTTATGCATGTGTTTCTATCAAAAATCATAAATAGAGAACATTATTGAATATGGGAAGAATAGCAAAATATTGTTCAATGTTGTCATTGAATGGACAGAGAAACTTTTTGGGAAGAGTGTATAGAATTGTTTCCATTCTATGATCTTTTTCTCTGACAATTAAATTGATTTTTGCTGCCAAGAAAAAATATTTTCTATGGAATTTCATTTTCGCCTCAACGAGAAAAAGTGCCACGTAATGATTATGAACTGCATAGAGGTTAGATTCAGCAAGATGAATATATTTAATAAATAATAAATCTTTATTGTTGTTCTTTTTATTCTTTTATAAATAAAACTGATGGATGAATTCCAAGAAAAAATTCATCTTCAAATGGATGTTCATTGTGCGATGCCACGATTCTTCTACTTGATGAACAATTTCTTCTTTATTAAATGTTTTTTTTCTCTTCAAGATATTTATTGAGATCGTCGATTATTCTAAGCGTTGTTTTAACAAATTCATCAAGATTATGGATTTCAATTGGAGAATTGCTTGAACTACAAAAATGAATTCTTTTTATCGATATATAAACTACTTAATATTTACCTTTGAAGACCTAAATCCATGCTCAAGTCAAATGATGCATTATATTGTTTATTATTGATCTAAAAATTGCAATCAAATTTGTCAATTTTTTCTTTTCACCTACTTTTACATCAAACTTATAAAAACCATCTACAATATAATGCGTAATACATAGAACTTCCTGACTTTTTGTATAAACGATACGCAAAGTATCATCATATTTTAATTTTAATGTTTCAGCTGTCTTTTATTTAAAAAAAAAGAAAATTTAATATTCTTTTTGTTTAAAAACAAATTTACTGTTGTTTTATCAATGAAGATTCGAAACCCATAATTGATCATGAAATAATGTAAAAAGACGATCAACCGATCTTTTGGCGTTTTCCAATTGCCATTGTGATAAAATAACAGTGTCGTTTCAAGTAATGGATATTTTTCCATCTAGAACTGAAACAAGAATTTGCTATATTCTTGTTGATGGTGTTCGATCTCGAAAAGAATTATTTGAAGATGAAAATCTATGAAGTAATGAATGCTTATCATTTTCAGAAGATAATTTTACTTTATATGAAAGATCATCAGTAATAAGACCACTACTTCGTCCATTTGTTGTAGTACGTGTTAATACAGTTAATTTGGCACGAGATTATTTTTCTTTTTTTACGTTCAATATTACGTTTAACAATTGGTTGTAATTCTTTGCGTGCTTTCATTACATCAGCAATGTCACGAAAAAGATCTAAATTAAATATATTCAATATGCTTTGTCTTATGTCGATTAAACAAATGTTGAATTTAAATCTTTGAACTGCTCATGTAACAATATATAGGTTAGCTAACGGTGAAAAATAGTCAAATTTTGGAGACAGGAATACCTGTACATCTGACTGATTCCAAACAGAGATTCGAAGAAATCAGACATGAGACTATAGATTTGACTAAATTCATAACTAAGATGCCCCGCCTCCATTGATATACTATTATAGAAGAAGAAACATTCGTCTTTCGTGCAAGGAAAATGTCAGAATATATATTTTTTCTTGTTGAAAGTCATCTATTCAATACTGCTTAAGCTTAGTTTCGTGTCTTCTATTAGACAAACAACTTCAACTCTTCGATTTTGATATTTCTACATGATTAAATATCTTTGATAGAGCACCAGTTAATTTGTATAATTGAATCTCATATTGAATCAGAAAACAACGTCACACTCATCATGGATGATCTTGTCGAGCTTTAGACTAAAACTTCTTGATTCCTTATATTACATACATAGGTCAAATAATATCTATTGTTTTTATCTTAATCTTGATCTAATATTTCAATTACCTAAATCTTCTTTAGCAATTAGATCACATGATAAACATCGATTATGATATCGTTTTGATAGATAAACATAAACATCATTTTCTCGTCCAAGTTTTGTTTCAGCATAAAAATAATCTTCGACGTTCTTCAAATCATGTACAACGTAAACATCCATATAATTGATCAATACGATCTGATTGATGTAAACGTTTAAGACGTTTTTCAAATGATAGATTACGACCAGCTGATGGAATAATATCTTCAATAAAATCATCATTGTTTCCAACTTATTTTTCAAATTCATCTTCGTCCATTTTTTATCTAGAAACTAAAAAAACACATTAACCACATATCGCTAAGATACAATCAACTGAAAGAAGAAATGAAGAATATTCATAGAAACAAATACTAATCTCTTCAGCAGTACATATATATTGGACGATATGATGGATTTTCATATTCAAAATCATGTGAACATCTAGCACAACGTAAAAATTTCATATAATATCATTGAACTGATTGATTTGATGGAAACATTTCTATTCAATATACAAACATAAATAAATCAACAAAATAGTTGTTTTCGTTTTTTTTTATAAATAAGTAAATCGAACTATTAGTTTCGACAGATGATTTATTGAATATGTGTTGTAATGATGACGTCAGAAGAAATTCTTTCTTTCTATCACTGCCTATTTAAATAACTGGGTGAAGAGATAGATAGCAGAGAGAGAAGAAGAGAATGGCAGCGGACGTATGTGCGTCTTCACTCTCTCTATCTCTCTCTTATTTGTTCTGCTTCGCGTACATGTGATGATACTTCTAGTACGCATAACACACAAAAGAGAAGTAACAACATGCATACACTTGTTTGAAAACAAACAGTTATATTGTTCTTCTCTTTTTTTTTCTTTACTAATTTAGAGAAAGAAATAGAGTTGGCTTTCTCCATCGATTGTATCGGACGAGTGAAATAGAGAAAAATATATTTTTAAGATCACAACATTAATTTTAGCAATAGAAAATTTTTAAGTGTTATGTTTTTGTTTATGTTCTTATTTAGTATCTTTAAGAAAATATCCTCTATTAATAAATTCATCTCTTGTAGATAATCGTACAATTGAATCATCAGCTACAGCTATCATTCGAACTGAAACACTTAAAACAAGTAACGCTCGTCGCTGTGCGATTCGCTTAACCCTCGACTGAGGAGTTCAAAGCAAGAGCAAGACCAAGGGTATACAATTCTATTTTGCCCGAGGCNATTTCATTCGGTTGAGCTGGAATTTTTTTCTGTGGGTAGACGAACCCAATCGGGGTGCGTGGTTTTCTTCAAAAATTCCAAATACTACAGGCTGGAGAACCAAAATACTGAGCACTTCGCAAAATCTCTAGGTTTTTTGGATCCTAAAAATTTTGCGAAGGCTGCCAAACTTGATTAGAAGAGGGTATCCAAAAAACAAGAAAAACACCCAACCCTAATCACTTGAAGTTTCAGCAAAACAATTTTCAGCCCGATCTAACTTGAAATGATAGAGAAAAAGAGAAAGAACCAGTTTTTGATACCCAAAAACTAGTTTGAGAAAAATGCAAAATAAAAAAATTTGAAGCAGATTTTTTTTTCGCTTTTAGTATAGATATACTACTTACATCATAATATAACTTTATATTAAAAAAAAACAATACTTTTAGAAGAAAAGCTTTTATTTTAATGATTTTAAAAATTACACTAGGTTCTCAATTTTTCCAAGATAAATCCACGTAGGATATCTTGGAGCTGGATTCGAGTATTCCACAATTGGATTCGTCTACAGGTTATCCCAAAGTGTAAAAATGCTTTACCAAGATAGATCTCGATGAGTCCTATCGATTCCGCTAATTACTTTTTTTCTCAGAACCCTTCCTTCATGGAGAAAAACTTGAAGTACTAGCAAAAATCCAGTGCCATTCGTAAAACTTGTCGGGATTCGCTCATAGGTTAGACCAATCGGCGAAAATTTACCAGGAGATAGAACTTGACATGCTCTATTCAATAAAAACCATTGAGATCCGATTCCATTATCGGATCTCTGAAAACCCAACTGAACAAGATCCGGAATCGGATATTCTCTGTAACTCGCACCGGGACTTGCCTGTAGGTTATACCAAAAGATAAAAATGGTATACCAAGAGAGAATTCGCCGAGCTCTATCGAATGGACATCTTTTCAACGAAATTCCATATACGGATCTCCCCTAAAAATGCAAATCAAACCTGAAATCCAAGCTCTATAAAGTTTATTTCAATTGGTTCATTTTTTACATTTATCAAATATATTCTCCATATCTGTTGTTAGTTGCTTTCAAATAACCAATTCACAGGTCGATCAATCCGATAGTAGGCACCTATCGGAACCCATCCGATCCGATTGGAATCCAATAGGATTTTATCGGATCCTTAGTGCCGGATTCCTATGAATTCCAAGGAAAAAACGTTGTATGTCATCGGAAGTTCATAGGGTTCCGACACTGATGATCGGTCATCGATTCCTCGACCCGGAATCCAATAGAATTGTATCGGATTGTAGGATATTTCCAGGTTCCTATCGGATCCGATGTCGGATCAGTCGACCTGGGTTATACACTTCTCTTTGTTCATATCGTCGTTTACATCTGTCTTGATCTAATCAGCCATTTATGTTAGCTCAATTCTCTTTGTTCAATTCATTCTTTCTTATCATTGAACTCTTTATAAATACTTATTGTGTTCTCTATTACTTTCAGATTAAATTATTATTATATTTATTATTAATTTGTCTTGGTTGTTGTAACTAAGCCGCTCTTTCGATTCATATTAATTTGCATTCATATGCCTTATTAGTATCGAACTAATTCCAGTGGACTTTGTTCAATTGTTATTTAACTTTCATCGTTTTCCTGGATTGGTTTTATTTGATTTATTTCTACGAATACTTCATTTATTACCAAATTGTTATATTTCTACGATTATTCTCATCAATTGATATTATTTTTGATATTTACACACACGTCTATTTCGTCCATTGATATCGGTTATTCGTTTATTCTATTACTAAAATTCTCATTCAACCAATTTCGTCACTTGGTTTAATTCGTCAGATACATTTTCTTCAATTCGTGATCTTAAGTTATATAATTAATCATAAAATGTCGTTGGATACATGGGATCAGAAAATAGGACGTGCTACAATGTTGTTACATAAAAATAAAGAAGATGATGCGTTAAAAGTATGTCAAATTTTCTTTGTCTAAGTTTAATAAATTTGTTATATATTGATAGATATTAACAGAAATAATGGACGACATGTCAAAAAATGTTACAGGTCTTAAAAATGGAGAAAAGGTAGATTTTATAACAATAGCATGTTCTGAACGCATCAACATACATTTTGACAAGAAAATGTACGAAGGTAATTGAATATAAGCTTTTAATGTTCGGTCCTCAATCAAATCTATGCTTTTTATTTTTTTTCATAGAGATGTTAATCGACTTTAATATTCTGGAAAACAATCACTACGACATTTATCTTCATCCTGATTCCTGTCTGAAAAAGATGTAAGACACATATGGCTAGATAATTAATATTACATGTGTTTATTTATTTATGGAATCAATGGAGCAAGTAGCTCGAGCTAATTTAGACATGGAATTCAAGAAAATGAAAGTAACTTGTAAGTGATTTCAACAACGATCGATTGATGAAGATATTGATTTGTTTTTGCTTTGTGATTAAGAACGTTCACTTAAGACATCTGAGGATTTTATATTTACTCGGATAGATTGTGAATTAGATGACTTTTCTCAATTTGAAGATTTATTTATAAAACATGATTTTCTTTTTTTTTGAATAAATCGTTTATTTTAAGAAGAAAAGCGTCTAAGTAGTTATTCATTCAGTTGGCAGCAGAGCCTCAGTTTTTTCAGAATCTTAAAGACTAAACTGAAGCAAATATATTCTCATTCAGTTACCGGGTGAGCAAATAAAATCAACACTTTGATAGCAAATGTTTTCAGTAAACTTACTATCTATAAAAGTACATGTATCCTCTCAAACAATTTGTAGATTTTAAGCTGTTTTCTTGCGGAATTAAGCAATCAGTTTGTTCAGAGAATATTATAATGTTGGATTGAAATAGATCTCAGTGGATAGAAAGAAGCGATAGTCGAATGAAGCACTTTTTACAGGAAGGAAACTTGATTGAATGGCAACAGTGATATATAAAACGACATGTCAAAGTGTCAGAGCAACTAGATTGCGTGCTTCATTAGAAAAGTAGTTTGTCACCAGTGGTAGGTGCGCAAACGTTCTCTCGTTCTGGATTCTGAATACCTTTTGCAAAATCATACGATTACAAGAATTATATCAATGGAGAGTTATATTTTCGCAGTTCGTTTTTCGAGAAGTATTCCTGAGTTTTTGAGAATATAAGATATTGGCTTCGCATTGATGTCAGTATGAATATAGAATTTTAATATCGGTTACCAAGAAAATGTTAGAAGTTAATATCGATTGGATTTTCTTTTCCTCCAGACACAACATAGATGATGCTGTGTATCACGCATAAGCTTTCAAACAAAGCATGTTGCCAAACTTATCTGATGTTTTTTGTATAAGTTGTTTCTATGGAGGAAAACTGAATAATTCAGCTGATGAAATTATGAGGGTGTGGCTGTTGATATTCAATACTTCACACCCACACCCACACCCTCAAGATAGTGGAGGACTTCGAACAGCTGATTCACTAATACAAAGTTCGGTTAACATTTGTTCGATAATAGAAATGACATAGGGTTTTCCGGAACCAGCTAAACCATTGACAATTATATGAAAAGGAAGTGGTTTTAAGATGTGTTGAATTCGTTTTCTATTGTCGTCATATCGTATTAAAGCGCCAATATATTGTTTAAAAAAATTTGCTAATAATAACTGTTGTGCATTGCCTGATAGCAAAAATTCTTGAGTTCGACTGGAAGGTGCAGCCATATTGACATCTTAAGGGTATGGGCGTAGGTGTGGATGTTCGCCTTCTTATCATACCCACACTCAAAAAGAAAGACAAAAAAAACTAATACCAATGATAAAACAAACTGACGTCAACGACATTGAGACAGAATAAATCGAACATTTTTTGCTTCAAGTCATTATTGTTATTAGGGTATGAGTGCACTTCTCTGAAACCACGCTCTACACCCACACCCACACTCACACCCAAAAGATCTCTTGGTTGAAAATAAATATGTCGGTTTAAGAGACTTCGAACCGAACCGATCCCATCACTGCTACATAATCGAGATTGTTCTGCATGGAAGTAATTCGATCAAGATCAAGCTGACTCGAGACAAACAGCTCTTCATATATCACTAATGTGAGCCCTAAGAGTAAGTATTAATAACTTGAATTAAGTTGAAAATTACGAACTTTCTAGTTTAAAAACAAAATAATCCATATGCCAAGAAATGGATTCGAATCATGCTCTAAATATCCATCGAAGATGTCGCACAAGAGAGCGCCAAACATCTACCGAACGAAATGTCTCGCAACAAGCTCTCCTTGCTTAAATTATGATACATGAGGTTTCACAAGAAACTTTCCACTTTCAACCACAAAATTCCACACATGTATTTTCTCAATGATATAGGCTTCTTCAAAAACAGTATGTACGACAAATTCTCAAATTCTTGATTTATTCCATTTAGATAAATAATCATAATTATCATCAAGCAATAAGGAAAGCGTGCTTGAAATTAAACATATCAAGATTAGAAACGATTTTCCTCACACTCACATAAAAGACCATTACCAAAACGAGAAAAACGATAACGATCATAATCGTCGTTACCAGTAGAAATACCAAAATAATCATCATAAAAATAATGATGATAACCACGAGGATGATGAGGATAACCACCATATTGATAAAAACATCTAGCATCAATACGCTTTTCATAAACCTTCTTATCACCATCAGGACGCCAATACCAATCACGACAAAGACTACATTTTGCGCAAGCACGACCTTCACAATGAAGTTTTATATCAGAATACGCTGACATGGCTTTTAGTGCGATTACTTGTAGCTCTTTTAAATACAAAAAATTCAGTGTTTATAATAGATTACGAATAAATGATCAGTTGTTGGAAAATTTGGTTGGACAAAATATACAACTATGAGAATTGGCAGTTGTATAAAACGATATACTCTGAAATAAAACGGTGTCATATGGAAGTATTTGTGGTTCTAGCTAGTTTAAATAACCATCTCAGATCCTCAATAGTTCCGAATGTTTGAAAAGGTTACGTCCTGCACCATTTTGTTTTTGTTGAACCATTTTTCCAAAGATGGTTCTGACTTGAAGCAAGGCTCTCTATTTTCGGAACGTGATTTAAGTAATAGAAATCTCAAATATGTTATTGAGATCGAGGATTCTAAATCCGTTATCAGTTTTTCGATCCGAGCCTCCAATGGTTAGAAATTGGGTCCATGAAAAAATCGAGGGCTGTAAAATTAGACATTCCATTTGACCTCCGATCTCAATTCTGATCGAGGTTTGAAATAAATTATCGAGGTTCAGGAATTCGAATCCGGCATCATTGATACCGAGCCTGAGGACCCGAGTCGGATTGATGGATATGGGTAGGTGCGTCTTAATAATCAATTCTATAGTAAATTATAACTTATAAAATCCGTTTATTGTTTTATCTATTTTCATATATCACAATTATCAATAGAAAGTAATATCAATCTGGTAAAATGAAGTCAATATTATCTTTATTTGGGTATGTAGCAATAATTAATTGAAAGGCAAGTTCAATATGATAAAATGAATTAATGTTTTTTTCTATTTAGGTATATATGAATAATTGATCTCATAGTAAGTTCAATCTTACAACATCAGTCACTCCTCTTGTTTTTTGTTTAGGATCGTCTCAACAACAAGTAACGGCGATTCCCCTTTCGTGCGAATAAAGGAGAAATGGTTGGCTCGTATTCTGCACACAACAAATCCAGGTAAATATAACACACCATTTTTGGAATAAAAAGGAAAAGATTCCAGCTGAAACCAAATTTTTTTTGAACCTTAAATGGTTCTGATAATGGTACTCAAATCTAGAACCTTAAAAGGTTCAGTATGACCCCTTTTTCTTTTCTGAGTAGGGGCCAAACTTATCGATAGCATGAGTACAACTTAGTTATTACCAATGAAGAAAGGGTAAAAAACCAACACTTTGGGACCTTCTTAATCTTTTATCAATCAAAAATAAAACTGCTCACGAGGGAGGTACCCGAAGTATTCGATCGACTTACGATGGGAAATCTGGGAACGTTCCCTCGTTAGAGCGCATATTTTGACCATAATTAGACCACAATATGATCAGCTAAAACCTAAAAGGATTCGTGACCCCGCATGGATCTGTGAGGCTGAATTATAATCATTTTACTGAATTTTTGCCCTCTAGCTGTGGTTTAACTCTAAAATTGAATCTACGAATTTTGACCAAAAACCACTCCCATGAAGGGGTCTAAGGGTCACTAGAATACCCTGAAAGTTTCAGACCAAACGAATGCACCTTTCTTAAGAAATTCATTTCTCAAAAATTGACTATTTCTCAGAAAAAGTTCTCAAAATCGAGTGCATGACGTAAATGAATTACAAAGTAATTCAGATTTCAAACAAATCTTTGCATATACGAACTAAGCGGAAGAACATTAGTCTTACACGGTCGACAAGGGTCTACAGCTATCTACCAGGGTCTACAGCTATCCACCNATGGGTAAATTTGCATAGATAGCAAGAGAAGTGAAGCGACTTTTAATTAATGAGTGCATGACGTAAATGAATTACAAAGTAATTCAGATTTCAAACAAATCTTTGCATATACGAACTAAGCGGAAGAACATTAGTCTTACACGGTCGACAAGGGTCTACAGCTATCCACCAGGGTCTAGGAATTCTACCAGGGTCTACATGTATCTACCAGGGTCTACAGCTATCTACCAGGGTCTAGGAATTCTACCAGGGTCTGCAGCTATCTACCAGGGTCTACGAGGGTGTAGGTGTGGTTCTGAATGAGAATGTCTTCTTCATGCCTAGCACCCACACCCTCACGATATTGGTAGACGAGTGCATGACAAATTTTAATGATAGTATCATTGGGATTTTCCAAAAAAAAACTGTCACCTATCCACATATAGATAGATAGATAGATAGGTAGATAGATAGATAGGTAGATAGATACATAGATAGATGGTTACGTAGATAAATAGATAGATAGATAAATAGATAAATAGGTAGATCGAAGGGTCACGGTAATGATCACGGTCACGGTAGGTATCTGTGAGGGCACGGTTTTCAATCATGGTAACTGAATGATTCTCAGCCTATCGTGGCACCCACAGTTAAGATGTTATGTATGTGTGTACACGTTGTTTTCAGCCTTTCATGGCACCCACAGTTGAGATGTTATGTATGTGTGCAGACGTTGTTTTAAGCCTTTCGTGGCACCCACACCAGCTCCCTCTGGTAAATAGCTGTAGACCCTGGTAAATAGCTGTAGACCCTGGTAAATAGCTGTAGACCCTGGTAGATACATGTAGAAATTTAGTTTTAGCTCTGAATTATATTGTAATTCATTTCTTCTGAATTACTTTGTAATTCATTTGCGTCATCCAGTGTCAAAATCGGAATTAATCGTAAATTGAATTTCTTAAGAAATGTGTATTCGTTTGATCTGAAACTTTCAGGGTATTCTAGTAATCCTTAGACTTCTTCATGGGCATAGTATTAGGTCGAAATTCGTAGATTCAATTTTGCAGCTAAACTAAAGTCATCGGGCAAAAATCCAGTAAAATGATTATAATTCAGCTTCACAGGCACATGGGCACGAATCCTCTTAGACTTTTGCTAATCATATTCAGGTCTATTTATCGTTAAAGTATGCGCTCTAAGTCGATCGGATACTTAAGATATCTCTTCGTGAGTTTCTTCTATACTTCACATAAGAATTAAGTAGGTTCCAGACACACAATTTTGAATTCGTTATATTACGGTTTGTAGGAGCGGGGCTCGTACAAGGGTGCTCTGCAGGTGTTCCTGAGCACGCTCACACAGGTCCTGCCCCTACAAGCCGTAATAAAAGAAATTCCGATGTCATCTAAATCCATCGTGCTAGCTCATCGTCGTGCTAGTCTCACACCGATTTCATTTTTTTGTAAAGAAAAAGCAAACTTATCGATATTTTCATTTTTCAACTAGCTTTTACCTTGAAAAGAATATATTTTTGAATGTGTAAAAAGCCAGACTTTTACTTCTAAAATCCCGTCTTTTTAAGGGATTTTACCTGCCTGGTGTATTCTTTGTTTAAATAATCAATAACTGATGATTGTAGTACTTCTGTGAAACGCGATCTGAAAGGAGTGTTGAAGTATATAAGATAGAAATTTGCCGCCCTCCCCCCACTCACAGACCGTTACAAAGGAATTAATTAATTATTTTCTCTGTAACGGTCTGTGATGGTTTCTAGAGACTTCATACATCATCATACAGGCTGTAACAGAGAATCTCCACAGACCATCACTGACCGTGATTGGCGGATTACAGAAAAGGAGTTTCATCGTGTTTCACATTTTAATCCCACTGGGGTTGCGCTAACAGCTTTTTGTGCGCTCAAAAAAAAGTGAGTACAATCTAGATTCGGTCAGTGTGTCCGTCCGTGAGGGTGCGGGGTGTGGGTGTGGATAGTGATGTTTTTTCTAAACCCATACGCAGACCCACACCCATATCCACACCCAATGATGATTGTTTGAAAATATCTATTGTAACTTTGATTATTAATGTTTTAATACAATCGATATCGTGAAAAAGAATTTTACAGGATTTATCAATATTATCCTGCATTAAACCAGTATTAGTAGGAAGATCAGCGAAAACTGATTTTAACTTCTATTTTATTGTATTATGTACTAAATTCGTGTTGTTATTCAGATTAGCTTGATCGTAAGGATTTAAGCGAAGGCTTTTTTCGTTAATATTGAATGCTTTTTCATAAAGTAAAAGAAGCTGTACGTAACGGCCTAAACTGTCTTCGATTATTCCAAGACGACGAGAGACTTATGCTTTTTCTTTATCGCCCAAAATCGATCGAATAAGCATTTGCATAATTGTTCAGCTTAATCGACTCTGCCTAGGTTAATCTAACCCTTATCTAATTAATGTCACTCTATAGTTTCGTCTCGTACTCATAAGGTAAAAGCATTGGATTTGTTGGTTATTGTGACTTGTCAAAGCTACTTCCATCTATTGAAGTCGATTTTTATCATTGATCTGATCAATTGTAATAGCACGGCAAATCGTATATTTTCAAACGAGAATCTCCTGTTCTGAATCTTTATAATAGCAATATTGCGTAGTTAACAAAAGCATAACCCAAGCTAACAGGCCAGTTGAAAAAAATGCGTGTAAACGCTATAAAACGTTTGCGTGTTTTACGACCATACTCACGGTTCCCGACTGCTACCAAAAATGATAAAAAAACAGAGTATTTAAACGGAAAATCTTTTTGCAGGAGCTGGTATTTTTGATGAGTACTTGCAAACGCGTTCTCATCTATTTTTTGAAAGCGTTTTCAATTCACAATCAAGATCTGTGATTGCTATCCAGAATCGTTCGAATTTTTTCAGGGTTTTCGCATACTAGTATCTGGGTACATATCTCTCACATTTCAAAACGCTGATAAACATTCCAAAAACGCCCAGAGTTTTTAACGTTTTCCCCTTCTACCTAAATACTTCGACCTATCCCCTTATTACTATATCCTTACACCTATATTCTTATGACTATACTCTTATGCATATACTCTTACCCTTATACTCTTACACTTATACCCTCTTATAACGATACCCTTATTACTATATCCTTCCTATGTAGCCGGTTTTCACAAACAATGTACGTTGTAATGCATTATTTTCCAATAGGGACGTAATCGATGCAATTATATGCTAATACAACCCAAATAATGCATTTCATACATTGAAGTCTTATGGCTGTATCCTTAGAACTATACCCTTATTGCTATACTTTTATTGCTGCACAAATATAGCTACACCTTCGGACGAAAGTCTTTCTTCCTGGGGGGAAAAACTGATTTAAATCAGCTTTAAACTCGTTTTAAATCACAAACTCACAACTTGCTTTTTCTCTCTTGCTATCCCCCCTCTTCGTTTTTATGGTATCATAATCTATACCAAATTTATTACCCAGTAGAGAAATGACACGAGAGTTTTATTGCATTACGGAGTACAAATCATACTGAAATAAAATTCTCATGTCATATCAGTACTCGGTAATAAATTTGAGGTAGAGTATGATAACATATCGGGTCAGCCATAATGATTGTCGGTCTCATTACAGATTGGATATCTCCCCAACCATACAAGATACAGAGTTGTTTGTTTTCATTCAATAGAGGCTGAAATTCTCTATAGAACGATAAAAGATTCGAATAGGTTCTCTGTAAAATTTTCCACTTTATATCATGAAAAGTAAAGATATCCAAAATCTCGTTTTTTCAAAATTCAGAAAAAAGGAGCAGCCGAAGAAGATCTTTGATGATTTGAACGGAACAGTGGGGTTGAGTATAATCGAACGGTGGTGCAAATTGTTTCGTGAAATTGGCTCAGTCGATCTGAAAAGATCGCCTGGTCGTCACGAACGATTCGCACAAAGCCAACCATCCCAAAGGTAAAGAGAAAAATGAATAGAAAAATACCGCTATCAGCGGCAAAACTGGTGGTGGAGATGAATCTTTCCGAAACTATTGTTCGGAGAGTACTCAAAGAGGACCTGAAACTCAAATCGTACAAAATGACAGTTCAGTCGTCGCTCATTGATCAGCACAAGGAGAGCCGAAAAAGATTCGCAAACTGGATACGAATCAATTTTCGAAAGGAGGATACGATGAAAATTCTGTTCTCCGATGAAAAGATGTTCGACATAGACGGGGCCTATAATTCTCAACATGAAATAATTTGAGCTGCTAATCGTGCGGAAACTGATGCGAAAAGTGGCATCAAGCGAAAGCGAAAGTACCCACAAAAAGTAATGATCTAGCTTGCGGTCTGTTCCCAAGGGGTTTCTCCTTTGGTCATTTTCGAGGGCGGCAAAGTTGATCATGATCGTTACATAAACGAAGGACTTCCGGTTGCTCTTCAATATGGAAACAAGGTCTTCGGGAACCATTGAACATTTCAACAAGACAGTGCTAAGCCCCATACCCATGCAAAAACGCAACAATATTGTGCAGAAAATTTTTCTGCATTTATAGACAAAGACCGATGGCCTGCCAACAGCCCAGAGTTGAATCCGCTAAGCTACTCAATATGGGACGAGTTTGCGTCTCACATTAACTGGAAGAAAATCACATCGAAAAAGACACTAATTGATGAACTAAAGCGGGCGGTTCATAGAATACGCTCAGAGGTTGTTTTTGAAAGCTGCTCAAGTTGGACCGTTCGTTTGTCCCTATTATCTACAAACAACGGAGAATATATTAGTTAATAAAAAAGTACCATCTTGTAGATTTTTTTCTTTTTCGATGAAAAAAAAGTTTAAGTTAATATTATGCTTCATTCAAGAGATATCTTGAGGGTGTGGGTGTGGGTGGGTGTGACTGAGACTGGATGCACAAGAATTCTAACACCCACGCCCACCTCATGTTAATTCACTTAGAAAAATTGATACCGATGTTTATTTTCATACTTTCGTAGAGTCAGAAAGATGATAGTTATAGTTCTATTGAATTTGGTTGCTTGATAATAGTCATTGTAATTTTTCATCGAGGTTGCACTTGCGTCGGAGTTTTTGCTGCTTTCCCTGCCTCTTAAATAACGAAAAAATAGAGATTATGATTTAGTGCATACTAACGAAAAGATGAATAACATCATTGAAAGATGAAGAGAGTCTGAATAAGGGAATGAGTTTGCTTTCCTGCTGGCACTGATAACTGCTATGATATTGTTAGTATATAACTGCAGTGATGGATTTAGGGGAATGGTTGAGGCGATCGTCCCTGCTCTAAAAACAGTGTCATACTGAGCTTTTCAAGATTTTAGTCAAGGTCTTGAACCTTTTAAGGTTGCGCATCTCTGTCTGAAACCATTTTAAGGTCTAAACGTTTTGCTTGAACTGAAAATGGTTCTGAAAATGATACCGAGAAAAGGTTCCATGTGGCACCTTTTTTTCGATTCGAAAAAGTCGTCAGCGCAATCACCTTCATGATAAAAACTGAAACATGACATACGCTTTCCAACCAAATTCCCAGAAAATCTGTTCATTTGATACATTGTAAAGTGCACTTCTTCCTAGTTGCTGAGTACTTGGCAGCTGCAGTAGAAATAAAACCATATGATAAGCTTTTCTATTAGATTTCACTGATATAAGATACTCGATCATCATTTCCACTCAAAAATCTGTGTACGACCCCCTTTACGAGGTGTCTACGATACACTTTTGCTGACCCGTGGACCATGATAGGCACGGTCGATTAGATGAGGAGAGGATATGTGTGCAAGTTTCTGCTCTAAAAGCTTCAGCACTCCTTGCAAATCATGTTTCACATCAAATTTTCGTTTTTTTCAGCAAAAAAGGCTAAAACATCGAGCCTATAATACTTCTAACAAACATAAAAATCCGGTTTCTGATCAAAATCGCCCCATGTAAAAAAAACCCTAGATCCAGCACCACTCGTCTGTAAATTATCTTTTTTTCTTGACTGGCAAAGCGATGATATGCCTGAAAAATTATTGCTGATGTTGCTCGCCGAAATTTTCGACACAAAATACTTTGTACAGATTTTTTCTTCGCATCCACGTAATTACTAAAATATGATCAAGATCATTTATGAGCAAAATACTTATGTCGATCCGATTGCGAACTAAAAGGTCTTTATATCGTTAGCTAATCAATGCCGTAGATCTTTTGTATAGAGCATGGGTATCTGTTACTTTATTCCCTTTTATGATACCTGCACCTCATCGATATATACTACTCGCGTGGGATTTTTAGATTTTCTCTTTGTGCCTTTCAGTAGGAACAGTGAAATGAGATGGTTAGAAAGTCACAAAACAGTGCTTGTGACATCATCATCATCTGTAGGAAAAACCAAGCGTTGATAATTGGCAAAGAAAATACTCAGATCGACCAATCATATTATAAGATCTGATAAGATCTTGCATCTGATCTTGTATGTGCTTCATAAGATCTTGTGTCAAATTTTTCGACCTGGGTATACTTGTGAGCCTTATTTCGTAAAATTTTTGTTAGCCTCACTGATAGTGTATATTCGGATGATCAACTAAAATTAACTCGTGACTTCTACTCGACTTGGCGCATGACAACTGCCCAGGTAGCAGAATTTATTAGTTTAAGTCTCAAGAAGTTGGCATTTCCTCTGTTTTCCGCCTTTTCACTGATTATCCTAATCGTTTGGTTCATACAGAGTTTACATTTTTCTGTGGCTTTTCTTCAGATAAATTGAGCCAGTGAAAAATCCATAGGGGAACTGTCCTGTTAGGTGTGCGTATGATAAGTGGGATTTCTTTCGTCTAAATTACAGTGTAACCAGAAGAATGAAATATAATAGCTGAAGCAATATGCATTCCAATTAATACACACCCCGTATGTTTAATTCTCTTGCTTCTTGGCATAATGCACATGGCGTACAAAATATTGAGACTGGCCAGCTGTTGCATGTTGTTGGAATACTATAAGCAAATGTTAAATTAGAGCGCTGGAAATGCTCATTTGAGGCACATGAACACAATATGTGACTTAAGGCGTATTGGAGACAGGGACACCGATAGGTAATTACACTAGGCGTTCTTCGAACATTGCTATGAAACAAAACACATGGACAAAAAAGACCCATTAGACAAATCTCTTTGTCTTCTAAGCAGCCAAATAAACCAGCTGAAAGATTGATTCAATAGAGTTCATTATAATGAAAGTTTAAAACAAAATATTTCATACGACTACGTACTGTTCCAACCCCAGACATCACCTGCATTGGGATAAACTGTGCTGCTACGAACCATTCAGTGCTGAAATTCAGTCAAGAAACTTAATATATACCACGTCTCCGTCTTAACGGTGTTGCCTCGGGAAGCGCGAATTTCGCCGTACTCACTTTCACACTTGACTTTCGCCAATTGCCAACAGTTCAATTTGAGGAATTATCGGAAATCGTAATAAAAATCTTAATCAACTAATTTATTATAGTAAAGAAACTTTACTTTCGGCAATTATTTTATTTCGTGACCTTTGGGCGATAGATGATTCCCAATTTTTATAAAACTGCTCTTAGCATCTCGATACATTCAGTTACTTACCTCTTTCATCATCAATTAAACCGTGTGTGTTATTAGACGATATCATTATTCAGGAGGTCTACTAATATTGTTGAAGGACTTCCATCGGCTTGAAATCACACAATGTCCAAAGTGTGGTTTCTTTACTATAATTAATTAGTTGATTAAGATTTTGTGAAACACGATCTGAAAGGAGTGTTGAAGCATATACGGTAGAAATTCGGACCCCCCTCCCCCCACAGACCGGGACAGAGAAATTAATTAATTAATTTCTCTGTCCCGGTCTGTGATGGTTTCTACCGACTCCATAGATCAAAATACAGACCGTGACCGAAAGGCTGCATATATGATTACAGACAGTGGTAGAAAAGCTGCAAAGACTCACAGACCGTGGTAGACAGGTTCCAGTAAAGGAGTTTCATCGTGTTTCACGTTTTAATCCCACAGGGATTGCGCTAGCAGCTTTTTATTACAATTTCCGATAATTCCTTAAACTGAACTACTGGCTATTGCCAAAGATCCCTCCTGTTTACAGTCGAAAATCTTAAAAAAACACAACTTTTGGGAATTGGCGAAAGTCAAGTGCGCAATTCAGTACGGCGAAATTCATAGTACCCGTTGCCTCCCTAAAATTTGCTAAATGGCTCACCCCTAGTTCTTATTCTTCGTTCTTTTATTGATGTAATCAAACAGAAGCTATAAATGTTGATAACCTGATTTATGTGTCTCGACTAGGTGTGTTAGTTTATCTTTATTGGTCTTTATATTAAAGAATAAAGATAAATAAAATCTTTATATTTATAAAATAAAGATAAAGATAGTCTATATTTGTAAAAATAAAGTTAAAACAAAGAAAAAAGAAAGATTTTCTGCAGTCACTGGTAAATAGATGAATAATTTGTATAACAACAGAAAACATTGATTGCAGTTCTTGCTTATCACCACTAACATTGCAGTATAAAATAATACTAGCAAATGATGGTGAGGTATAAATCATTTATGGAAAAAATCTAGCGTTCAAAATTTTTTAGCCTTGAACTTCTTAATTTTCTTCGAGCTATCGGGAGAAGACCAAATTTTGGATTTTTAAGGGAAAATATTTTTCTTTATTCTTTATTTTATCGTTATTAAATAAAGATAAAGCTACTTTTTATTTATCTTTATTTTCTAAAGCATAAAAATTTCATAAATTCTTCATTCTTTATTTTATAAATATAAAGGTTTTATTTATCTTTAAAATGTAAAGTAAATATAAAGTAACACCCCTCGTCTCGACAATACTTATAGATAAAAAGAGTAATATAATCAGGCATGCTTAAAATACAAGAGCAAAGTCATAGGACTCTATAAATGCTCTTGTGAGTTTTATTCAATGATACGTTAGGCGTGAAGTTCAGGCAAAAGATAAACTGTCTTCTAGATAGTCATTCACATGTGGAAAGAAGATATTTATACACTGTTTAGGATTTCCAATCACTTCAACTCACAATTTATTATAGAATCCGTCTTGAGGGTGTGGGTGATTGGGTAGCGGAAACTCACACCCACACCCCAAGATAGTCCAGAAGCTCCGCCCCAAAATGACGAGAATACATCCTATTCCGCAATGTTGAACATTCCGGAACCAGTTCCGCTCACGGAACCGATTCCATCTAATTCCCGAAATTCCGTTTATCACTTCCAACACAATTCCGGAATTTCCGGAATCACTGCCGATCAATTCCATCTAATTCCCGGAATTCCGTTTATCCATACCGATTCAATTCCGGAATTCCGGGAATCACTGCCGACCAATTCCATCTAATTCCCGGAATTCCGTTTATCAATTCCGATTCAATTCCGGAATTACACGGAATTCAAACGGATTCCGCCTAATTCCCGACGGTTCCGGAATTCAGCGCACTTACACCAACATCCACACCC